TGGAGCAGCGACCGCTTGGCTGTGTGATCAGAGACCCTTTGGATTTTGTGGAGCATGGCTCAGTGTCAGCTCCTTTACAAACTGCAGAACAGCTCTCAACTGAGTGAGCCACCTCATCTATTCCGATCTCCATCCTCAGAGTGTGCATTTGTAGTTTGACTCTTAAAGTTTACCATATTCTGACTTGAGCCAGGTAATAAGTAATGATACATCTCAGGGTACAGTACCATTCTGTAGTGGGTTTTAAAATTAAAGAATTTATGAATAGAAGATTAATACTCGTTTTTTCCTATTATTTGACAAAGTACCAAAGATTGGCTGAAAGTTGTGTTTTGCAAGAAAACATTGCTTTGTTATTTGCCTGCTTTTGTCTTCTATAATCAATATAGCTTTCTTCCGAAATCTGCTTTGTTCAGTAAACAAAAATCAAGCATTTCTAAATAAGAGGATGCAGTTACATGCTGCATTTTGGCACCACAAGCTCCTCTAAGAGGGTAAGACCTGACATCTGATTACATAGCTAGGATGATACTTGTGAAATTGTATTGATGACTGTCCAAATGGCATAACTGTTGTTCTGTCTGTCTTTCTGTCTTTTGCAAGAATACCAAACTTGAGAGTTTATCCTGCCACCTCTTTCACTAGAAACGAGCACAGTTGCATAGTGACACCCATGCTTGCTGTGTGCTGGTGCAGAAAAGGCTGGTTTACTCCATACTGCACGTTATGGTGGTTTCTAATTCTGATCACTAATAATGCCGTTTCTAGTGCTGGAAGTAGGAGTTCAAGAAGACTTTTGCCTAATTTGAGACTTTCGGAGGCAGCAGAGGCCTGTCCGGTAGCTTTCTAGACTTCAGTTTGCAAGTAAGTCAAGTGCTGGCTGACAGTCCCCATCTTAACAGATTGTCATTGTTCAGTTATTTAACTCCAGCATAATCTTTGCATGAATAGAATTTCTTGTGTGTCTTATAGAATAACCTTTTATATCATTAGTATCTGCAATAATTTTTTCCTTTGGAAAGTGATTCATGTCATCTTGCAGATAGGAAAGACATAAAGCATTATTCTGCAATCACACAAGAAACCCTATTCATTCATAGTTTATATTGTGAAGCCAATCCTGTATCCTCAGGGTTGGAGTTGGTTTTGTGGCAGCAGTCCTAATTGCAGAATCTTTCTACAGTATATCTGAACTGGGGGCTGTTCTAGAGTCGCAACTGGAATGAAATGGCAGGCTGAAAAGAAGGAAGTATGAATGTTTCTTAATGCGTTCAGTCTTTCCATTGTTGCTGTTCATAAATAGTAGGTTTTAGTCATCAACTGAAAATCACAACAAAAGCCCATTCAGGCTACGCTTGAGACCAGGTTCCCAGATCTGATAACAGGAATACTCTTCTAGGTTTTGTCTTGACTAGGTTTACGTGCTGGGTCATGTTTGATGCATCACTGAAATAAAGCTGCAACCTGAGGATGTGCTGCCTCAGTCAAGCCAGTGAAGAAATGAGAAAAATAGTTTCTACTCTGCATCTATATGCATTTGTGCTGCCTATACAATTTTCTTTTTTTTTTGTCTTGCATAACTGGAGTCAAGTACTCCAGGACCTTGAATAGCCTTAGCATGTTTTTGCAGACAGTGATGATAAGGCAACTAGTAAATAATCACTGAGAAGACATTAGTTAATCTGGTTGAAAAGAGGATATAAGTTTTTTTACATTGATTCTTTGATTACTTTCTTCCCTGACACAGCAGTAAAAGGTGCTGATGACAGAGGCAGGAGGGAGTAATCTTGTGTTAGCTTTGAAAAGTTTGTGTCTGGATTATGTCGATTCCTGGGTGTGACAGTACCAGAGAAATACAGACATATTGGAAAGAGATTAGAGAATGTGGCAAACATGGCTGAAGGGCCTTCTTTGTACTGAAGCAGAAAGGGCTGACTATTTGTAACATGACTGAGCAATGGTTTTAGGGCATAAGCACCTAAAATTATCGGGAAGTATGAAGCGGAGATGGTGGGAAGAGCATTGTTATTGGGCATAGGTGGAAATACCAAGTCGAACTCTTTAAGAGTCAGTTTAGGTTGGGAATCTGGGAGACCTTTTAATTGAAGAACTCCTTGTGGAATAATCTTACAGACCCAAAAACCTTCGTTGTTTGAAGGTGGCTTAAAGGATTGGAGAAACTGACTTAGGTCCAGGGGAAGGGGTACATGTGTAGGGAGGAAATTACACTTGGAGTCATATAGGAGATGACAGTGAGTCTAATACATTATTTCTCCAATTAAGGAATAACTTAATCAAGATATAATTATTTCCCAAATTAGGTATAAATCCAGACTATTCTTTGGTGGTAAAAAGAAGACCAGTCTCTCTTTGCTGTATATGACACAGGGAGGAAGGAGCTCTGAGAAAGAAAGTCCCATGCTTTTTCGGAAGCAATATTATTTCTTCATCAAATCTGTTGTCCTGAAGACCACTACTTTCTCTGAATATTATCTAACTTTTATTTCAGGAAATGCCAGAAAGCTTGTTTGTAGTTGATGAAGGCTCAGAAGAAAAGCAGCAGACTTCTTACCCTGGATGTGTTAGACAGAAGGCACTCTCAGGGAGTCTGTGGATGATTAGCCTTTTTGGAGGCATAGAAGCATGGGTTTCTTGTCTGAACAAAGCCCCTTAAGTCCTATAAGATGAAGAGGTTGAGGAGCCAATAGTACTTTTTTTAACTGTGGCTCTGATTCAGCAGAGCATTTAGCACACCTGATAGTGAAGCCTGAGAGTCAGTGACTGGAGGGTGTGGAGTCTTATTACCTAGGCTTATGGCTGGTGGTATAAGCACCCAGGGGTTTAAAAACGGTTCTGTTTACGCCCTTTATCCCCTGGCACCCTGACTCACTGCTGTGGCTGGGGCACACCTCATACCTCTGATCATCTCTCTGGAAGGCCCTCCCATGCCTATGGGGCTTTGGGGCAGTGCCAGTGGGTGTAGAGGGGAGCAGTACAGGACAGGCACAGAAGTCCTGGCCCTGGTACAACATGCAACTTGGCCTGCGGTATTTGATAGGCAGGTGGCAGCCTGTTACAGATACCAGCATGGTAGTTGGAGCAGTCAGTTCTTCATGTTCAATGCAGTCGTTTCAATGCTTTATATAATCCAAAGAACGAATCGGGAAGGTTTCTTTACAGTGTGCAATTCTACCTAATTGCAATGAGCAGACCTGGCACATTACAAGTTCCATTGAATACAATTAAATCAGTGCTTCTCAATTTCAAATTAAGGCTTTAAAATATGTAAAATGTGAACATTCATCAGTCTTGTGCTATCCCCAGTCCTTAATTACAACAGCACCAAACTCTAAGGTACTTCCCTTTCGTGTGAGCCATTTGTACAGGCTTATGACCTAAGATAGGTGGGATGTAACATGTATGGAGGGCAGGCAGTCCTTTCCTCAGATGCAGGTCTGGCCTTTCACAGTGCTAGATATTTACCTTTGAAAACAAAAGAAACCCATGCTGCAGTGTGACTTAGCTGTGATTTAATCATGTTTTGTGAAATGGATTTCTGGTTGTACAGGAAAAGAGGGTGCTCAGAATTTCATTGAGGTGTTTTAATTTGGTTATTGAAGTATTCAAGAAAGATGAAACAATGTCTAAGATTTAAGACCCTTAAATCTGGGATCTCCTATCTTTTCATAACTAAGTTAAGCAGCCTTTTTTTTTTCTGGTGCAATTCTGACCATGATGATAGGAAATGCAGCTGGAAATGGCTATGCTGAGTGTAAAACACTCAATTCCTAATTTTCACAGGCTTAACCTTTATACAAATGTTACTTTCTGCTCTTGATGTCTACGCCAGCGGACTTATTTAATAAAATATGCTGCTACTTACGGGTTGCAAGAAAAATGAAAAACAGTTATTCCTCCTCAAAATATTTTGCCATGGTCCCAGAGACCTTGGTTAATGGAAGCCAATGTGGCCTTTATTAAAGGCCATGCATTCTTAGAGGCATTAATCTACTTTGCTTCAGGCTGTTTGCAGCTTTTTATAATCCAGAGAGCTTGGAAATCATGAAAGTGCTTTTCTCTACTGCTCTTTGCCTTATCTTTAGAGTCCTGGAAAATGAAAGTCAGAAATTCACAACACGATCAAAATGTTTTGCTCCATTAGAATTAAAGGTAATGTTTTGTTCAGTCTGGGGAGGAAAAAAAGCAAGTCTGAAAAAAATTAATGAGTGGTTAAAATAGAGCTGTTAAAATGGCAACACACAGACAGTCTGTGTATAAATATAGGCTAGCTCCTCAGCAGTGTTCTTATATGGTAGATCTGAGTGAAGGAAAAATATCAGCCTACTCTTACTCTGTACAAGCCTGTGTGTTGGTTGTTACGATCTGGTGCCATATGTTTGGTAGTAGGCAAGGCTGCATGTTACATGGAAATTATAAAGACTCTCACCTTTTTTTCTGTTGCAGGGACCTGCCTTACCAGTGTGAGAGGGGAATCTCACAAGCATACTGTGGATTTTTTGTCTGTACGTGCTACTTGATTATCTATGTTTTACTGACCCACCCAAAAAAAGAGAAGAAAGGTCGAACAAAAATCATTGTCTTGTCACTTCTGCCTAAGAACTGGCTGAATTTTATGACGCCTGCTGGAGAAGCTACCTGGATCCTTAGAAATGGAGCAGCTGATGCTGCATCTCTGATCATCAAAGCTTTCTGCATGGAGTACAAAAATCAAGTTGCCTTAAGTTAAACCATATGCAAGTTGCACTAATTTTAAGTGTACTGCTAATACCACTCTGGACTTCACTAGGGCTTTCCAAGACAGTAGTTTCTCATGTAGTTTGAATGTTTTCAACTGACATTTGAATGTTTTTGTTTTTTGGTTTTTTTGTGTTTTTTTTTATTAAATCTGGTGTGGCTGTGAAAAGTGCGTGTGGGGTGAACTTTTTCCTGTTAAGTTCATGGTGAATTTTAAAGCCTCACTTCCAAGTGTGATCCGTGCTATGGCAGCAACCTACAGGCTTATGGTCACTTCTGTGAACTGCTATAGCAGCGTGGTGATAGACCAGCACTTTCAGCACACTGTGCATTACTGCACAGGGACTTGCCAAGTGTTTAAGCAAGGAGTTACATGCATAGTTGCCCACCACAGTGTCTGCGCAGAGCTCAGTGTCCAAGATGCCAACCTAGACCATAAAATTTCTGTTCCTGAAAATGGACTGGCCTTGCCTGGAAATGAGGACTATCAGCAAATCCTTCCAAATAATCCAAGAATCAAAAAGGGCTCTTCAGTGCAAGCCTCCAGCAGTTTAAAAGACATTACTGGTGAGGCAATAAACCTTGCCAGTGGTAAAATAAAGGAATTCTCCTTTGAGAAGCTCAAAAACTCTTCCAGTCATGTGGCCTACAGAAAGGGAAGGAAAGTTCGATCAGAATCATTCAGCAGACGATCATTTGATTTTGACTTGATTTATGGGCACTTCAACAATGATGAGAACTGCCCTCCGTGTGGCTTTTTGCAGAGTCCCACACCTGTGGAGAAATGGCAGGAGAACAATGATGCTGCAGAAGTTGCCATGAATCCCATGGTTCCCTTCTCTCCTCATTCCTTCTCTGAAGAAAATTTCATTACTCAGATTTTGGAAAAACACAAGCTAGATGGTTCTTCTGGTGGAGATATTAAGGTGTGCTTAGACATCTTGCTCAAGTGCTCAGAGGATCTGAAAAAGTGCACAGACATAATAAAACATTGCATCAAAAAGAAGTCTGCAGACAGTGTTAGTGGAGGGAACAGCAATGATCCCCTGGCCAATTCAGAAATGATATATATGAATCTGATGACAAGATTTTCTACATACCTGAAAAAGCTACCCTTTGAGCTCAAGCCACCAGGACACAAGGAAGCTAGTGACTTGGCAGAACTAGTTAACTGTTTTCATGGCTTGCAGCAAACTCCCTTTCCCCCAGTATTTGGAGATGAGCAGCCACCTAGGTATGAAGATATTATTCAGCTGCCATCTTCAAGTGCAGTTCCTCTCAGACTACCAGGTGATCAGTGCGAGGTGACAAGCACCTCTCAGTCCATCCAAACAAATACTGCGAGCTTTACCTCAAACTCCCTTCACAGCGTCCCACAGGAGAACAGTGTGAGAGCTGTGAAAGATGCTTGTGCTCTACCTCAGTTACCAGCCACAAGCCCTTCTGACTGCATGTCTTCTGCTGAGGCTCTGTATATTGAGGAGGAGTCTGATGGGGAAAGAACGTTAGGGAAAATAAAGAAGGCAGAGCAGAAAGGGGGCTGGGAGAGATTAGAGCGCAGCTACCAGCTAGTTGGTTGTTCAGATCTAACTACCGATGCTAAAGCAGAATGTGCCAGAGTGGGAGATGTAGAGCTCTCCCATGCTTCTGAGAAAATTACTCCTTTAAAACTAGCTTCAGATTCTGTATTGCATGGTTCCCAAGCTGGTGTCTCCAAAGGAGAACAGATGTGCAGTAAGATAGACAAGGATGAGATAGATAAACTGCTGCTGGACTTGGAGTCCTTCTCACAGAAAATGGAGAGTACTTTGAGGGAACCCTGTCTAAAGGAGAATGAACCTGCCCATTTGCAGGTGTTTGACTGGCAAGGTAGGCAGGTACTACCTCTGGCTCTTGAACCCAAAAGTAAACCCGTTGACCCCACTTCCCCTTTGTCAAAAATCATGGAAACCAATGGTCATAAAATGGAAGAGGATGACAAAGCCCTCTTGTTGCGTATCCTGGAAAGCATTGAGGACTTTGCCCAGGAACTGGTGGAATTCCAGACAGGCAAGGGAAGTTTGTCCAAGGAGAGGGAAGTAATGCAGATTCTTCAGGAAACTTTAACAACTCCTTCACAGTCCCTCCTTGCAGGGCAAAAAAGCTGTGCTGGGGCTGCTTCCAGAGACTCTGTTCCAGCTTCAATTCAGCAGGCTCCAGAAGTTATTAAGGTAAGAGAACCAAACTTTTGATGGGGTGGTGAATAAAACAAACATGGGAAAATGTGCAGGAAAAAAAAATTACATATGCTAAGTGATTCTTCATGCTTTGGATGCTGCAGCGGGGAATAAGATGCTCAACCTGGCAGAAATGTAGCATTTATTTAAATACAAACAAAAAAAAAGGAAACTAAAACACCTAAGCAAACAAAATATGCCCTGATGTGCTGTTTCACCTTTGAGCTTGTTCCTTTCCTGCTGGTGCTCCTGTAGGCAGTTTGTTTGTGGTTTAAATGGGTCCTATATAATAGAGGGTGGGAACTTTTCAGCTAACTACTTAATTCCTGGGAGCAGGTATTGGACTACCTCTCACCAGTTCAGTGAGAGCTGAATGCTCCCCCTCTCCCTTTCCCATCTCCAAGCAGACTCCAACAGCCTTTGTTGTCCTCCTCATCACTAGTTCCTAAAGAGAGAGATCCTTCATGGCACAAAGGTCAGAATCTAGGAAGATTTAATTTTCTTCTCCCTGTCCCCAGTGCATAGTGTCATTGTGGAGTCTGCATTCCTCGTATCTCTCAAACGAGGAGTAGGTTTTCCCAGGAAAAAGGGTTTTGGTGGGAGTCTGCTTTAGAGAGAAGCCAAGACTGTCTGTCCAGCCCTCAGTGCTTTTCATTTGATAATAAGTTTCAAGACAACTTGGTGCCAAACTTCCAAGTGTGCAGGAACTATAGAGAGGGCTTCAATTTCCAAAATCCACCTTGCACATAGGCACTTAAAAAGTGCCCAGATTATAAGTGAGCTTTCACAGCTCCTTCCAGCTGGAGCATGATATGCATGTCTTCAAAACTGTCCATTTTCCTGAAAATACAGGTATTTGGTGCAATTCTGAAAGAGGGTGGGTGGGGTGTGTCTGACCCTAAATGACAGTGCTGAGATCTTTTTAGACTAAGCTTTCCAAGTGTTTCTGATGTTTCTCTGGGTATCTTTGCTTACAGAAAATGGTGAGCGTAACCTTGTCTGATATCTCCAGCAAGGGAAAGACTCTTTTTCCTCAAAGAGTATAGAATTAAGCAGCTCCAAAAGCTCTGAAGTGATCTCTTACAATAGCTATTCTTGCCTTGTATATTAATATACAAAATTTTCTAACTTGTGAACTTCAAACAAATGTGTTTGATAAAGCATGACACTGACTTTGTGGCAGTTTTTCTATAATACTTGAAAACTGGATCCATTTACACTGTCAAATAGCTTATCGTTCTGGTCCCTTACCAGCTTCTGTTTCCCTAATCACCCACCTAGCTTGTGTCTTAGTTTGCACCCAGCCTGCCTTCTATGGACATATAACATGTACCCACGCTACAAGAGCTTTTCTCTTCCATGCAGCAGCACAACCCTTGCTTCGTGTAGATGCCTAGAACCAAAGATCATGAGACAGAGTAACTGTCTTGGGGACCCAGAGGAGCTGGAGGGGGCCTGGGCTGGGCACTGCACAGTGTGGATGCAGCTGGGACCCTTCAGAGGGAGTTGGCCCTTAGCAGAGTGGACACAACTGCTGGTTCTACACTTACTCTGAGGTTTGCTGTCATTTATGGTGTAGATGTGGCCACACACTTGTCTCTGGACACAAGGCCCTCTCTAGGTATAGCATTTAGGGAATACATCCATGTTCCTGGATAACTTTGCATCTGGCTGGAGCTCCATGTGGATTCTGGTTCAGTATCGCACGTGTGCCTGAATGAATAATACGTAAAGTATTTGTTGTATTTTCTTAGGGCTCATAAAACTGTTATCAAATAGTTATGCACACACGCAAAAACCCCAGAGATCTGATACCAATGAAAACACAGTGCAGCTTTCATTTATGAAGATTGTGACAGTTTTAATATCCCTCAAATCGTAAGCAATGAAAAAGGAAAGGGAGAGCCACTTCAGACTAGGCTGTTCACTGGCTCAGTTGGCCTATCTGTGTTGAAATCTGTCCTAACTTATCTCAGCAACAGACTTTTCCGTTTATCATAAAACCAATTATGATTCTTCACAGAGAACAATAGAATTACTTGCCTCTTCATTTTCAAAACCAAGATATTCAGAAACTAGGACATGAATACTCAAGTCCATCAGTTTTACAGAGCACATAGTGAGTGCATCATGCTTCTTTCAGGCAGGCCAGGAAGCATTGCATACTTTCAGGCTGTCTGACATTTCCCATTCTGAGATCCGGTTTTCGATGCCTTATCTCTAAACTACTCCAACTACTTGTTTTAAAATTTCCTGTTCTGTGTGCCTGTCTTAAGCTGATTTTTTAATATGTTGTTTTTGAAAGAAATAGTTTAGTGAAAACAGTTCAGTTGTCTGATAGAGGCTAGCAAAACCCACAAATATGTATCTATATTTTTGTCTCTAGACAGGAGGGCAAGAAGGAGTGAAGCCTGGGTGGACTGTCAGGTGTGAGGGAAATGGGGGAAACTACAACCAGTGAGTAGTGAAGAAGGTGGAGATTTTCTGACCTGACCTGAGTGCTGAGTGTCAGGTTTGGGGTTTTTTTGGTTGGTTGGGTTTTTTCCTGGAAGGTAAAAGGTGCTACCTTTTGAGTAAAATGTCATCTTATGCAAAGTCCTTGGAAAAGTCAGTGGTGAGTGTTTTTGACCTTAACCTCTGTGCTCTTGGTCTACCACCTGTACAGGATGTATTTAAATTCAGTTAACACTTGCAGAATACTTGGTACTCTAGTGAAAGTACCCTAGAAAAGTCTGTAAGAAACTTACTCATTCTGTTTTCAGAATCAAATTTGAGTAGTGCAAGGCTCTGCTCCAAGTCCTGTTCATGCGTTTTACTTTAAGAGCTGTTGGATAAAGTTTGTGAATAATTTTTGGAGCAGAGACCAGGACCAGGGTTTGATAGAAAGAGAGGCCTCGTTTTTTTCTCCTTCCTAAGTTGGGTATCTCTTCTCAAAAGGATTACTCATGGTGTTGTGAGCTAGAAAGAGCAGTCCTGCTTCCCATTTCTCTCTCCCTCATGCCTCTACTTCCTATTGCATGGTTTTGAATCTTTCTTTATACTATGATGCTTGTATACTAGATAAATTTCTTAGTGATATTTGTTTTCTGTTAGATTAGTAAATGGAGTTTCTCACACTGAGGTCAAATGGGTGGTACAACTATCTCTGGACAGGGACTGTGAATCTAGGAACAGAGGGTTTACAGAGTTGAGGAATGATCTCGGACCACCTTGTCTAACCACACTGTATCTCAGATGGTAGAGCCCTGAGTCAAGTATCCAGAGGCCATTCCCTGCTGCCACGTGTTTCCTCTGGGCTGTCTCTGTCTAATCTGGCATCTGTCTAATCCTGCCTCACCTGAATGACTGATGGGGTGGGGATGGCTGGGACTCTCAGAAGTGTTCCTAATTTACTGTGATCTAAAACATTGTCCTGAGGCCACACACCTTGCTTTTATGTATCGAAATGCCTATGTTGCATGCTTAAACAGGTGGCCCAAAGATGGCTGAGTGGAATTAAGATTGTTTCGTAATCATATATAAAGTTAAGGTTGACCTAGCAACTTCGTAATTCTGCCCCTTCAAAATGCTACTTCATAATTCTGTGTGCTGCTTCGTTTTGCAAATTTAATGATACGCTTATGAAGGATCTTGTGTGGGGCAATTAACTGTAAAAAATGTCTTCTATAACATCATAGTGACTTTAACTTTGTCGTGAAATAATCACATTTTCTCAAAATGCATCCAAAATGTAATAGAAAACTTTTTTCTGGAAAATCAGCTTTCATCTACATATATTAAAAATTGTTTTGATCAGATATTGATAGTATCTGTCAATTAAGCTATACACACAATCTACACTCTTTTCAGACATCAATTGTTCATTATTTCTAAACCCAAATAGTAAAAAAGGGCATTTTTTTTTTTTCTGCTTGGTAATAGTTATTGGAATAAATGAAAATAGTAAGTGAATCTTAAAATATCTCAGAGTCAAAGATGACACAGGAAAAAAAATTAGATCAGATTAAAGAGTTAAGAGAACCGATACCAAACGCTCAGGGACATGTTCATGGTATGGGGGCACCTTTTGTAATCAGGGCAGATACAGTCTCTGCTTGTGTGAAGTTGATTTATCTTGAAGGAGACATCTGAAGGTAGGTGAAACAAAGCTTAGTGATAAGTGTTGAGTTTTTCAGCCTCATTGACTCTAAAGCCAAGAAAAAGTCACACTGTTGCTGGAGAGGTTTCATCTGTTTTCAAAACAGTTGAAGCTGGTGCCCTTCTCAGCTATACATAGTGCATTGAATTGTTACAGCCAGGCTTTGGGGTACAGCTAAGTCCTGTGATGATTAAATCATCCAAATCTTTTAGGACTAAGCCTCCAGCTTTAGGCACAGGTGAGATTCTTTGTGTTCTGATGGCTAACCGAGGCAACCTGACACCTCTTTAGATTTGATATCTCTCACCTTCAACGCTTTAAACTGGGTCGCTTATAGCAAAGAGGAATTTCTAAATTTGAGTGCAGTTTGTTCAGTTGATCTGTAGGCTGTTGGTAACAGATTTTTCTGCTGTGGATTTTGTACAATTGACTTTGAAATTGTTGATAGAAATTGACAGCAAGAGAATCTTATGATAGCACTGTACATCTATGTTTTTATTTATATCCATCTTGTGTGTTTTGAGGATAGGAAGTATCACCCTAGGAACCTGCTATGTTATAAAAAATTAGAATTCAGACACAGTAAGCCTTGTCTCCAGATTACTTGTATTTTTCCAGGTTATCAGTGCAAAAAACCCCAAACTTCTGGGATCTTTTGTGACTGGTTGATTTGTGAATGAAAAATGTGTGGGTTTGGTTTTTTTTTTTTTTAAGAAATAGCTAGTGATTGCTAGATCAGTATGTCTATTCCATGCATACATCTTTTAAAGCCCAGTGTAGCTTGTCTGGAGGCAGCTGTAGGTATGAGAGGTTCTTCGGACTACATTTCCTCTGCAGTCTGTAAACAAGGTGACAG